TTAACTGGTAAAATCCAGTTATCAATTACCTCAATAGATTGTTAATTTATCACTCACCAACCCCGATGCGCAACAGCGGAATTACATCTGCCACGTATATATGCTACGTTGATTCTGTAATAAACAATATAAAATTCGTATTAAAACAGTGTTCAAAAAACTCAACGTTTTAAAACATAATTCTTACAGGATCGAACGTTTTATTCATTATTCAATTGGATATTTATTTAAATAATTACACATTTTCCCCGTAAATGATATTTACAAGAATCAATTTTTATAAAATACTAAATTACTCATTTTTTTCTAACTATTATTTATAAATCATGATGAAATAAAAAGGCTCAAGAATATACAAAAAAAATACTCTTACATAAAATAAAAATTAATATTTACCGCAAAGTTGTCCCGCTGGCGCCCGATGCCTCTCCCAGGCCTCCTCCTCCTCTCAGGCTGTCCTCTCGGGTTGTCAGCTCCCTCGACGCTCGACACAATTTTCATCGGTATCACACGTACACGCGGATAACTATAATCGCGCGATATTTAATTCGTCACTTCCGAAAACGTGAAGTATCGACCGATTTTGTCCGTGGAAAAATCGTTCGCGATAACCGTGTTATCTCGACGCGTTCAGAGCCGGACAACTGACTCGATTTCCCCGATTAAGGACTTAGCCCCGCGTGGTCAGGATGCTGGATGAAGTGTTCGACAGAGAGAAAAGAGATCCTCGAAAAGTAGAAAGCGAGCTCTCTACAATGAGAATCATCTCCCCTCGCCACCGGCACATCGGGTTGCAGCCCCTCCACGCACAGTTAGGTCAAATTATCTGGACAGACTGCGATCAAGGCCGTCATCGTTCAACGACCGCGCACGAGACAGCCGTCACGTCTGAGAACGTGGAAATTGGCGCAGTTATATGCTAATTATTAAAATCGCGCGACGGAATCCAATGACTTCAAACGGCACTCCCGAAAATGCGACGATTTTAATTATCATGTTCGAAAATGCAACGATTTCGAGCGGCACTCCCGAAAATACGACGTAAAGAACCGTTTATACAATCGGCGGCGATTGGGTTTAGTTGCCCTATTCTTCGGTAAAAACGGAATAACCTGTAAAAGATAAGATTACGCGTACGTTTAGGGCTGTACACTAGGTTGAGATAGATAGAGATACAAGTATATACGCGCGAGAATAGAAATATACGAGAATAATGCTATAGTTGAAAGAGTTATAGAAAGCGGATGAAGTATATACGCGTCGCGTGTAATTAATTTCGAGAGTATCGTACAAGGTATGGCAAAGCCGCACGATCATTATATTCTAGTGATTACTTGTAATCACGTTTAATTGTAATCAATATTTTGTTTGCTTTAGGAAACAGATGTGAGTGCCATGAAGAAATAGTAATACGGAAAGAAAAGAAAACCCTAAACCAAGGAAGCGGGCAGATGTAACAGATTCCGAGGTGAGCATTTTATAATGTATTATTATTAAATTTGTTCATTTATTGTACATTTCCGTGCAACAGAACTTTATTAAGCAATAAAATAATAAATTACTTATTTTAGATATAGGATAAATTGCTTGATAAAAAAGTTTAATTTTAATTGAGATACAGAAATTGGAAAAAAATAGAAAATATTTTACAACCAGAACAGGTTAAAATATAAGTCGACTTATATTTTGATAAAATGTTGCAAACTTATTAAAGATATTTTTTATATTTTTTGTCAATTTTTGTATGCACGGATAGGATTACAAGATTTTTAGCAAATATATGATTATTTAATTTCGAGATTTAAGATAGAAGATAGGATATATAATTGAATGCACTTACCAATGCGATATGCAGTAATAGAGTTGTACTCGTATGCACCACTGATCTGTAAAATATAAATATATTTAAATAAATATCCAAATTAATATTTCTAATTTCAATAATTAAAATAATAATATTATCTATTCCTGCATTTATCTTTTTAATCTTAATCTCTTTCACTTTTTTCATAAATTCTTAATCTTTCGTAATTTTTTAGCCTTTTAATTAAATATTTAATAAAAAAAATTACGTAACTCTCTACACGATATCTTTTTATATAAAAACTTTGAAAAGTGTGATAAATAGAATCTCTAATTCTTGCGTATGTATAATTTAAATAATTATAATTTTTTAAACGTTGTAAAGTATTACGAGTATGTTGTTATTTTATAAGTACCTATACTTTATTAAATATTTTAAGCCTCTCAAATGTAAAAAATATATAATATTTTATATGTTATTATATATATATATACGTAAATATTAACCGATGCGTGGAATACTCATTACAATCGCGTGGTTCTCGCAGGGGAAACCGTTCGATAAGTAAATAATAAAACAAGTAAGTAAATAATAAAACAAGTTCCACAAGTAAATAATAAAATAAATAATAAATTGCTCACCTCGTGGTTGCTTCGTCGACGTCTCCCTGAACCTCCTCCTCCTCCTTCTTCGTTCCTCCACGACCGCTTCTTCATGGCGCTCACCTAACACTCGCTAGAACACAATTAACTATTATAATTATACGATTGCATGATCAACTGTATACGGCACTCTCGACGTCAATCATTCGCAAGACTCAAACTGTATTACGTTCGGACGGAAAATCAGTGCAGGAAATACACGTGCAATCTCGCGAGATTACGATTTACCCAACACTCGTGACGCAAGATTACGATCCACCCAACTTCCGTGACGGATGCGTATCTGGAAATCGCGAAGAAGAACTCGCGTGAATTATTGCGCGGTCAACTTGACGCGCCTAGGAGAACTACCGCCCGCGCCGCCGCGGCGACGCTACCCGCTACACCTGTTGCCCCCAAGGAATCTACGTCGCGCGGGTGTCAAATACTAAGACACGATTGAGTACGAAACTCATAACGATTGCGCTTACCGACTAAACATGCCACGACAAATAAATCCGTTCTGTATCCGCGACGTTCCGTTCGCGACGACGAAAGATTCGAGAGTGATGCGCGCCGCCATACGTCATCTTTACCGTGATGCCGCGCGATAGATCTCGGCCGAACGCATCGCTCGCGAAATAATTTGAGCGATGTAGCGAGCGTCGAATCTACATCGCGCGAGTGTCAGATATTAAGAGACGACTGAATACGTAGCTCATATATAGCGATTGCGCTTACCTATTAAACATGCCGCGACGAATAGATCCGTCCTGTATCCGCGACATTTATTCGTTGAGAGATTCGCGTCTCGCGAGTGATGCGTGACCGGGGGGTGGCGGCGGGGCGGGTGACGCCGCCGTGCGCCATCTTTACCGTAATGCCTCGCGATAGATCTCGAGCGAACGCATTTCGTGAAATACTAACTCGTTTTAAGAAGACAGCGATGCACCGAGCGTCGAATCCACATCGCGCGAGTGTCAAATACTAAGACACGATTGAATACGAAGCTCATAAATACATTGCGCTTACCTTAAACGTGTCGCGTGTCGCGACAAATAGGATTCGTCCTGTATCCGCGACGGCGACGTTCCGTTCCCGACGGCGAGAGATTCAAGAGTGACTCCGCGCGCGCCAAGTTCACAGTGACGTCACGCGACACGACGCGAGTCAAATTGGCGCCTAATTACGAATCGATTGACTGTCCGAAAATTCAAAATAATAATTTATAATTCCCATCACCATCATTTTCTATTCATTATTATATCACTTCGATTTCTTTAAACAATTAAGTCGTTCTGAAAAATTGTTTCGAGACTGTTAAAGTTTTGCATATACTTGTAATAAAAGATTTTGCAGCGCCTTTATTGGCGTGCTCTTACTAGAAAAATGCCACACCATCGAAAAACCAGAAATATCCCTCATATCGGGATTGGTTGTTTGGCTTAAATTTAAATAATAAACAAGTAAGGAAGTAAGGAAGAAAATAAATCGACTGTATGCCAATCTCAGTAGCACAAAAAATAGGTATTTATTAAACGGTAATAGATGTAACCGTAATTATAATTCAATAAACAGCTTGTTTAAAAAAGATATATTATTAGAGATCATTTTATTTTAAATTATTTTAGTGTACAAAAAAATTCTATCATTCTGTAATAAAATTATAATGAACTTTTGGCAAATGAAGATGCATAGAACGCATAGAACTAATTCATGAAATTCCTAAAACTTTTTTTATCAATGAAGCAAACAAAACATACATAAAAAGTAAATCGCGATTTCTAATTGCATGGATTTTAACGTTCAGAATATATCCTATAGAATATAGAGCGCATTCTAGAACATAAATTTCAGAGATTTAGTATATTATAATATTCTTTCTATAAGAAACGCGCGTGCGCGCGATGATTTTAGGATGAAATTTCAGGATACACAATATTATAGAGAACATAGCAAAAGCGTGTTGTAATGAAACAGCATTGAATGAGATGTTATATAATGTATTTACTATTGATACAATCATAAAAATGTAAGAATTTTCCTATAATTAATAAAATTAAATTACGAAAATATAAGAAATGATCCTAAAAATAGATTCGATTAAAAATCTACCTATATCCGCTTGTAATTCGTTTTACGAAAACAGAAGAGATATATATCTTTATTGAACCATGAGTCACTATTCATCGCGTGCTTTAACGCTTTAAATACATCCCCATAAGCAACGAGACGAAGGGAATTGCCTATGGCTTATAGGATTGATGACCAAGGATGCACTTTGCGTGGGGTGTGGCTTTTCCTAATAATACTAACAGAGGAAGCAAATATATGTTGGTAAGCGTTACCGTTTATTGACAAACTTAAATAAAAAGTAGTATCTACAAAAAGAAAGGATTAAATTACAAAAACTCAATAAATATATCAAATTCTATTTTCGTATAAACATCGATTTTATAAAATCTAAATATTTAAAAAAAAATAAACAGAAATTAAAAATGTAAGTACAAATGAGAGTAAATACGAATGAACATGTCGAATGGCTGCAACGAATATATTGTCGACAAGATAATGTTTATTATCGAGAGAATGTTACACCGTTTTTTTTTCTTTGGGATAATGTAAGAAAGTGCGGAATTTTAAGTGCATACATTAATTGATCACTAAATTACAATTGTACAATTCGTGTATGTAAAAAAAATTGTACATACTTTTTACAATGATACACTTCGCCTAAGTAGGCTTATCTAGTGATAAGCGGATAACGTATTTTATGAGCAACATTGTACGAGCATTAATTATACACTTTTCTTCATTCCGATGTATTCGCGAAGATACATATGTCATACCACTTTAATACAGCAATGTTATGAATTTTATTGAAGAAATATTATTATTCCAGTTTGTAATAAAAAGGCATGAGCACGCAATCTACTTCTTATAGAAAAAATTTCATTGTCTCAACAATTTCGTTCCCACATGACTTATTCTAAAGTGACAGAATATTCAAGACATTTATTTTTAAGCAAATACACATAAAATCATTTACAATGCATACTTTGTTTTGTTTCGAGTACCATCATGCCCTAACTCAAACTGGAGATTATACTACGTGCGAGGTTGTGATTAAACATTTATATTTAGTATATATCAAAGATTGCTTAGTATAAGATTTGAAATAACTTTTGACAATTTTATAATAGTACTGTTAGGGAACACGAACAGTGCAATTATAAAATATTTTAAGACAAGTTTCAATAATTGTGTGTTTAATATGTTATTGTAAAAACAATAATAACATATATAGAAATTTGCCAAAAAATGTTATCGAGTCAACTTCTAATTAACGCTGCAAACAAGAAGGATATTATGATCAAAGAGTAAGAAATAAATTACATTGTCCTGCCTCTAACGGAAATGTATTTTTCTTTATTACGAATAAAAATGTTAAATTTCTTTACGTAATGCATTACTAAAAAAACCAACATGTTACAACTTCACAATTCTCTCTATTACTTCCCGACCTTTTAAGATAAGAAAAAGTAACCATAGTAAACAATATAAAATACTTTTGACAGTTACATTCATCATTTCTCTCTTGATATTTATGCTGAAACTTTTAAAAGTAGTCTCTAAATCGAGATATGAAGATAAACATTTATTTACATTGTAACCTCTGTTTTAATGTTACTCTTATTAGTTTCAACTTTATGAAGTAATCTTAACTCTTCAGGATTGATGTTATAGCGAATTCGGGCGCTTGCACTAGTGCACACTGAGTGCGCACTAAGGCTCGTTCTTAATCAATTATTATATTTACAAATCATCTTAAATACTTCTTAGTCTATAAAATCATTTGTACATTATCCATATAAATATTACAGATTATTTTATTGGCCAAAAAATCTTTAAATGTGTATTTAAGCGACTTTAAATATAAGATATAAGAATAGATTATAAACCAGCCTTAGTGCGCACACTCAGTGTACACCAGTGCAAGCGCCCGAATTCGCTATTAGTTGCACACATCTTCTACAGTCACGAGCTTCTACATCAAAGTTATAAATAAACTTGTTTAAAAATATTATGCCAAGATATTAGATTTCCTTATAATTAACATATGCAATCTTATCTAACTTTGTTAATGTCATTATTAAGAAGTTCTCATTTGACAATAACGTAAATCATATTTTACAATATCATAATTGTACATTTGCTTGATACTTTGCTAGACCACAAAACTACAATATTTTCATAAATTATTATGTGTACCTAATGCACTAACGGCAAAAAAAAGTTCTTGTACCATGCATGTGAATCACACTGCAACTCCCTACTAGAGCTATGCAGAGTATTTTTAGATGACAACAATACACTGCATTCAGTTTTATTATACACAATATATATAATTTCCTTGACTTTAATTATTTTTTGTTTTAGAAATTAATTATAATAAGATGTACAATCTAAATAAGGAAAATTGTCAAGTGCGCTTTGGCTCTTATTGTCTAATTTTCCTTATTTTTCTTAAGGATATTACACTAACACTGGGACAGAAGTGAAACATTGGACTATCGAATAGGTATTTTTTTTCCTTTATACTTGTTATTACGAAATTGTCTGTAACATGTTTATATTATTACCGCTTTCCTCTTCCTCCTCTTCCTAAAAAAATTTAATATATATCATGTATTTATGTAAATAAACTGATATTATTTTATTTTATAAAAATAAATGTAATTCTATAAAATTAATTTTTAAAAACTTTTAAAAAATAAGATATCACTTACCTCATCAAACCCGAAACAGGTTTCCATTTCCTTTTGCAATTTAGGGTCATTTTGTGAGTTTTGCGTTGAAGATTTTGATGGAGTAGTGGGTTCTATCTTTAGCTCATGCATTTCTATATCTTCCTCTTCTACTTCATCAATTTCCTCTCCTGTTGCTGTTACTATGCTGTTTTCTTGAGTCAAAGGATCTTGCATTACCAATTCTCCATCTTCACTCGCGACAACAGCCATCTGTTTTAAGTTAATGACACATTTATAAACAATGATTCTAATAATACATATAATGTATTTAATTATATAATTTGCTTCAAAAGTCAGTCTTTCAGAGTATTTTGCTTAAAAATACCTGATCACTCCCTTGATTGTCCGCTAACTGGATCACTTCTAGCACAACGTATTGCTGACCATCACTACCTTGAACCGCCATCATGTCGTCTTCATCTTCCTCCTCTTCTTCATCGTCATAACCTTTAAGTTTAGAAGCTAAATCACCTGTTGTTACAACATAACACATGGATATTAGTCAATGATCCGCATTTAGATCATATCGTAAGTGTCCCTGTGAGTGTAAACGATTTTATATGCCATGAAGTAATATAAAGAAATCACATTCTTATAAATGACATATGGCATGCAGATTCAAAATTTATCGTGATTTCTTTAAAACTTCCTATATTTTAAAGGCACAGTTTCAGCATTTTACCTGTCATTACTTCGACACGTTGGCCGTCAATGATTTGAATCTTCTTTTGTCTGCCGATTTTCAGAGCTTGCTGTTTTTCTTGAAGAGACGATTCCGGATCGTGGACGGCCATATGTCGAATAAGATTACCTTTATGTCTGCATAACACAAAATTTCATATTAAGAAAACTTGTATTAATGATTAGTTTTATCATATCATCAATCGTTTCAAATGATCAATCATGTACACACCTAAATGCTCTTTCACATTCAGGACATTGATGCGTTTTTTCTTGTGGTGGTGGAGGAACGTAGGTAGGATTGTGATAAAGATTGCAATGCCGTTTGAGTAGCTGTTTTTGTCTAAATGATTGAAAGCAGTGATCACATTGATACGGCTTCTGATCGGTATGAATAAGCATATGACTTTCCAAATGACGCGCCGATATAGATGCATACGGACATAGATCGCACTTGTAACATTTCTCCCCTTCGTGCGTTTTGCTATGTAACTTATAGCTATATCTGAAATATAATACAAAAATTAAAAATATAATTTGTTAAAATGCGCGCGTTATAATTTTTGTATTTAATATGCATTTGACTGCTTCAACACCGTTTCAATACCGTTTCAATACGTAATGCCTCTTATTTATTCAACGAAATTATTCACATACCTATCCGGGAATGTTTTTCCACAACGCTTGCATTTTAGTGGTTTATCAGAAGTGTGTAACTTTTGCACATGAATTCTAAGATCCGTTTTTCTACCACATGTAGCTGGACATAACTCGCACTGAAATACTGGTTTATCGCCTACTGCAACATATATTATTGCCATGAGAAAGTAAATTTATACAATACTTAATCTCTTTATACACAAGTAATAAAAGATGTAAAACAAATATCATGCATACAATACACATTGTACTTCTATAATTTTTTCCAACACGAGATTTCGAGATTAACGCGAATATTGCGCTCGAATGTCATACATTCAAATTTTTTATCGTAATAACTTTTAAAGTAAAATCAATTTTTATGTGTGCAAATCATATCATATAAAATCATAAATAAAATTAAAAAAAAATTTCTTTATACTACAGCCATTATTATTTTACTCAATTTATCTTGAAACTTCTTGGAAGCATGCATTTCCCTATACAATATAAAACTTACCATTATGTATTAACTTATGTGCTTTCAAACTGTTGGATTGAGTAAATCTCGCTTGACAAAAATCACATTCATATGGTTTCTCTCCAGTGTGAATGCGAAGATGACGTTTAAGTTTAAATGTATCTGGACTTGCATATGTACAATGTGGACACTAAAAAAAATAATTAAATATTGTATTTATTTTGTCATTAAGTGACAGAATTACACTATTCTAAAAAATAAAACACATTTTTGACACTGAGTATCATAAATAATTAATATTAATTAAATAATATTTAAAAAATAAGAATTAGTCGAAAACACTACAGAAATATATAAATTAACTCTTTTAGCACAAGCTTTGCACATATGCAAAGCGATTTTTCGATGCTCCGTGTACTTTCTCTTATGAAGTTTGAACTGAAAACGCGCGGCTTTACACATCTGTAAAGACTTTTCTCTGACCTTTCCCTTCTAGATGGAAAGGCCTAGAAAGTTATTACTTATTAAAAAAAAAATACTCAGAATATTACGAAAAATTGCGTATTTAAGGGTTAAACGTGTAATATTATTATATAATATAATAAAAGAAATAAACTTGTGATAGGTCTCTGCTTTTTTGTGCGCGTTTAGGCAACTTATTCTTCATACATGTATTATTATAGATATATACAGCAGATTTATACAGTTCTTGTATATACATTTTTCGTATGTGCAATAAATTAGATTTAAAAAAAACAACAATATATGTGTATACCTGATAGGGTCGTTCGCCTGTGTGACATCTAATATGTCTCTTCAGTTTTGACAGCTCAACAGACGCGTAATCGCACTCATGACATTTGTGTGGTTTTTCATGAGTGTGTCTGTACCGAACATGTCTCACAAGTTCACCTGTAAACAAACACATAAAAAAATATAAATTATATATTATATAATTTAATTTCTATTTTTGCAGACACTTAGATTTGATAAACCAACAAATTCCTAATTTGACGAAATTTAAGAAAGTCACTGTAAGTTTTTAAACAATTATATTTAATATTTAATATAAGATGCAATTAATTGAAAAACATTTTAAATAGTATAATTCTAAAAATTAGAAAATATATTTTACTTTTTTTTTTTTTCGCGCAAGTAAATATATATATATATATATATATATATATATATATATATAGGGAGAAGAGGGAAGGAGGGAGAGAGAGAGAGACTATTTGTGTCTTAATACACATGTTCTCCGGGGCGAAGCCCGGCAGGGCATGTTAGTGTATATATATATATATATATATATATATATATATATATATATATATAT